TTTAGCAAACTATGGCTGGCCATGTTGCCAAACATTTGAATAATTGTAAAAAATTAGTGAGATGCATACCCATGCTCTTCAAACATGGATTTTTTTCTCCTAATGATTTTTTCAATTTGTATGTTTTGTTTTAACAAAAAAAACTACTTTTATTCCGATTTTGGGTATCTTGAAACCCTCTGAAGAAGGGCTTTAATTTTGTGTACAAATAAACGGGGCGGGGCCTCAGAGTATTGTAGAATACTGGTATGAAGTTATGGTGAGAAGTATCGTACACATATTGTCAAGCATGCAACTTTTCCTCGGATCCGCTGATTTCCTCGTTTTTTACTTCTCATGAATGCCATTACAAATTGAAAAACACTGTACAAAGTCTTGTGTTGTTTGGAATCTCCTCGTTTTTTCTAAATTCCCAGTTGCGTGCCTGTATTGTGCAAATGACTCTCAAGAGTCAGTATTTGTGGTGTTTGACTTTAATATTATCTTCTCATATTCAAAAATGGTGTTTTTCTGCTAAAAATAATACGAGCGGCAAGTGGTTAACCTCCTAAGAGTGTCGTGTTGTGTGTAGTTCCTCCCATAAGTCATTCAGCGGGGCTGTGGCATGAATACACACTCCTTAATTTGATGTCAATATTCCCTGCGACCCAGGATGGCCTTTGCATGTAAGCGTCTCATCTTTTATTATGATCTTTGGCATGCGATACTTTTCCCGCCAGTTCTTGTATACACTCCCCAAGCATTTTATGATCTCTTGGAATTCCATTCACTTCAATTGCAAAAGTAAACAAAGCTTTTAGAAAAGGCAAACTGTTATCGGAGTTGTATTTTCAATGCAGAATTTGAAAACATATGTGATGGGATCAAACTAAATGAGTCGTCTGTCGACCCTGGTCAATTTTTTTTTACAGATTTAAGAAGAGCACAATCTCAGCATTACTGCTGTGAAAACTGCATGCTGATACCATCTTTAGTTCAAAAATTATAGAAGTCGGTACACCAAGAGATGTGATGAAGTGATGTGATGAAGTGGCCCTACTTTGGCCTGAATCTCCAAATGAAAGTTCCCGACAAACGAGTCATTTAGCTTGATCCCATCACATATAAGATTCCTTTTATTCTAGCAAAGCCTGCATACAGAACAATTAAGTAACATTTCAATTCAAAGTTGTTTTATTCTTAATCCCAACTTTGCACTTTGCCCTGGTTATAGTGTATGCTGTTTATAACTGGCTGTTGTGGTATGACCATAGGTGATTCTATATGAAATAAGGGGGGGGGGGAGATGTACAAAACATGAACCAATTTCTATAGATTGTATGAAGCATGCATACATAAATAAATAGGCATTGGATATTATGGGCCCAAGTTTCACTCCTGTGTTGCTGTGTTCAGTTGAAGGGGATGGGGTGGGGTTAACCCCATCAGGATAAGGTTTTTTGGTCTTCTAAGGGCAGAGAGGGTGCGCATTGTGCCCCTCTCCCTCCCCCTTCCTGGTGCTGATTTGCTTACAGCTTATGTATTTTAAGTGGGAAAAGTCCACTCTTTCCTTTTTTTTGTTATGTGTTTATGATCAGGGGGTAGCTAAAGTTGTATGTTTCCTTGAAATGTACCCTTTGAAGTGAATGTCTAGACATTCAACAATCACCCAGTCATAACTCACTTTTGAGTGATCCAAGTATGGCAAGTACGATACCTCCATTTCATTGAAAAGGAGTGCCCATTTGACACACCCTTTTCTCCAGGTTTTGCTAAACACAGATCCCAACTACTTAAACAAGAGATTAAGCAAATAATAAAACAGAGAAATACATCTGGACACTTAACATTTGAAGGATAGTGACCTAGTGATTGAAGGACAGTGACCTAGGCTTACTTACACTCTTTGCTGATCGAAGAAGTAGCTGGTTTGATATGCCAGAAGTTGTTTTATTAATACAATTGCATTGTAGTTTACTCATTTTTTTTGCCCATTTGGTACAAATTCAAGGCCAAAATTAAAGTGGGAGGTTTTTTTTCTTTTTCTTTGATATTTTCTTCTCTTGTTTTTCTCTCAAAAACTTCACCCACCCCCATTTTCCAAAATCTTTATTAGCTTTTTTTGGTTCAAACTAACCACAATTTTTAGCAAAGAAATTGTATTGGGAAAAAATCGAGTAGCCAGTGCAGTGTAAAACAGTGTTGTGGTTGGGTACTTATTCATGTACATGTACATGTACATGTACCATCACAAATACAGTCGGAACTATTTGAGTACCTTGTGTTGATTACTTGTATGGTTTTGTTTTAAACAAGCTTAAAGAGATACATGTCATATGAGATAATTCATGTGTATGGAAGAAGTACAGTGTAGTTACATGTACAATGACTTCCATGTATGACATTATTTGTACATTTGAATGGTAAACTAATTGAAATGAACTAAAATTTGCATAGATGTAAGTTCTGTGTAACAAATCTATACAATTTCACAGGAATGGTACATCTGTACAGATGTACAATTTAGAAGTATAACAGGGTGATCACAGGTTTACTTATTCCCTCCAAGTGAATCTGCTGTAACCGCCAGCCCAAAGTTGTGAATGGTGAATGTTGGAGTTAACTTTTCACCCCTGTGAAGCGCACAGGGCCTGCTTTTATTCTCCCGGAACTTAAACCCGTGTTTTTCATTCAAGTTTGCACATTTGCTGGCACGCAACTCGGCGTATCGTCTTACCCACTTTTGTGAAGAGGGAAATTTGTTCGCCAGTAATCTAGTCAATGAACTTTGCCGGTTGAAAAGATTAGCCGACAATCGGTGGCGAATTCAGCCAGTGTTCGAGCAAGGTGTCGGGTGGCACGTGCAGAATGGGTGGAATTCTTGAATCGAAAAAAAGGCAAGGGGTGATTATTCATTTTTGTATTCCTTTTGCGTGGCAGTGTAGGCCTAAGCCACCCAACAATTAAAGGTGGCGTGAGTATTTCCAATAAAATAAGGTGTTTGCTTGGAACGAAACATATCCTAAGGCCGCACAGAATACCCATCAAAAGAGAGGGCATTCTTGTAGTCATTTGTTCGTTAGCAATAATAGCGTGCATATGCGAGGGTTTCGGTGAGGCTGGGTTGTAAAGGCCTCTCCATATCACCTGTTTTACCTTAGGGTACATGTCGCAAACTTTTTGTGGTCCATATTTTGTATTTGGAGTCGACACGCAAAGGAATTCGTAACAAAACAATCGGAAGAGAATGCCGAGTTTTTAGAGGATTCTCTCTAGCCCCGACCCTGTGCATAACTCCTCGCTAAAGCAAGAAGCACTCTCCACTAGTATTGGAAATACTTCTCTGATTCCACACAAGCGCCAGAACCGAAAGCATACAAGAAAATAGACTGTGCAGGTTACTGCGCTCCAAAGCTGCTTGCCGCTTACCTCCACTTTGACTCGGCATTTCATTAAGAGATTATCCGTCCAAATATTTGGGGCGCCCCGGGCCGGACCAAATCCTGGCAAATATTCTGTGGGGCGTGATGACCTCCCTATAAGTGCCAAACTTCACCCCGCCCTGGTTCTGACAAAGCTAAAAAAAGGACCTCTTTTGATGAGCTTTACTTGTTTGGTACTGTCATTTCGTTGGAATGCAATTATCATGATTTGTACCCACAAAATAGCAGTGGTTCTCAACTACCCTTTGTCAATTATATTGTCATTGTGTATAGATGTGTGTGTGCTAATAACAAGCCTACCCATGCCCCAGTGACTGTAATTTATAATGATGGCGATTCATCTGGACATTTGAATGAAATTTGCTTTCCGTAAATCTAACCCTTTTCGCCACTCAGATATGTAAGAGTTTTATTTTTTCTACGCAATAGATTGATTACCAACCAAAATATATTCATTGCTAGTGTATAAATCCTCCTATTCAGTGACTGGGATACAACTGTTAGATGCTTACGGTTAATCACTTCTAAAAAGTGCCACTGGCTCACACTTCAATAGAGGCTCTGTTCGTGTCAGGCGCACGAGACCTCAAGCAAAGCTCAAAAGAGTTTTTGACTTTTCAAAGTTGCCTTTTTTTTATGCTTTAAATCTCGTGCCTTACCCAGCCCCGACCCCTTTCATCATGAGTTATCACCATGCAATCAGTGTTCAATTTGTAAGGGACAAGTTAATGGATTTGTGAGAGTGTTGGGCCCCAAGTTATAGGCTTGAGAATGGAGTCTTAAATGAGAAGTATACTACAGTTCCAGCCCAAAAAAAACTTCAGCCAGGCTCTGGAGGCAGCAGTGTTGATAAGTTCACCACAAGTCTAGTCACATATACATGTAGATCACAAGTCAATTCACGTATGGTCATTGGTAACTGGATAGACATTACTGTTAACATTTGAAGGAATCAGCTTCTACGCCTGTTTTCCCCTTAAAAGTGAGATTTCAAAGAATGTGCTACATGTACCATGTATTTGGTTGCATTACAGTCAGGGATCTTTCACAGATTCTGGACAGTTTATGGAAAAACTGAATATACCTGAAGGATCTGCAGGGGCCGATCTGGATATGAAGGGGGGGGTGATATGAAGGGGGGGTGAGTGAAGGCATGCCAAAGGGGTGTCCTGGGTCTTGCTCCCGGGAAATTTTGAAATCTATGATGCTTTCTGGTTCATTCTAAGGCAATTTGAAAGGAATTTTAGGAATTTTAGCATTGCATTTATTTGTTGGCCCCATTTTACTTGTTTCATAGCATTAGACAGGTCCGTCTCCAAGGGGGGCCCAGGCCCCCCTGACGAGCAACTACCACCCCCCCCCCCCCCCCCCATCGGCAAAAAATCATAAGCATAAAAATTATGAGTGTTTTTTTTCTTGTGGTGCGCCCCCTAGTTTGTACTGTGTCCCCCCCCCCCCCCAACTAATGCCCGGAGCTGGCAACAGTGCTGCCTCTAGATCTGCTACTGATCTGGGATGGTGAGAGTTTACAAACCAATCTTTAATATTGATTCTTATTCTGTTTATCTGCCGTTACAGTTCATATCTATCGGTCCGACAACAACTGCAGCAATGGAGGAGCAGGGGTACACAGTGGCAGCAACGGCGACAAAGCCAAACCCAGAGACACTGCTGAAGACCATTCTCGAACTGAGAGACAAGGTGTCATGACCAAGACAAGACGCTTCTAGATGCTCTTCAAAGACCTGATCCGTGGAGAAGTCTCAGTGTATCAAGTTCTTCCAGAACGTTGTTTTTTTTAGGACAGAACCGGTATAACTGTTTTGCCCAACTGTTACTACAAAAAGAATATTGGTGCCTCGCAGTGTGTACTACTTCTTGACTGAACAGTCAGAACTTACACGTATACAGCCATTTCAGATTCAAGTCGCTGAACATGCATCTGTGCCCTGTAGTTGTGGTGTTGGCACGACTGCAGATATCAGGCCTTTTATAAGACTGTAGGAAGAGATATTAAGTAATATTATACTGAAATAATGAGCTACAATTGTAAAAGTATTACCGTAAATTGTAGTCACTGTCAAGTTGCTGAACATGCATCTGTGCCCTGTAGTTGTGGTGTTGGCACGACTGCAGATATCAGGCCTTTTATAAGACTGTAGGAAGAGATATTAAGTAATATTATACTGAAATAATGAGCTACAATTGTAAAAGTATTACTGTAAATTGTAGTCCCTGTAGTCAGTTGATTATCAACACCTGCAGCCCTAGCACAAATGGAATCAGTAGATTAGTCAGTGTGCTTCGGGGGCTCCATATGCATTTTTGGGTACAATCTTTCAAACTCTCAGAATCAAGTTTAAAAGCACTTCATGCCATTTTTTCTGACCCTTTTATGGGCGGGGCCATGACATTAAAAAGTGGGGGCTTTGTGCAAAAAAAAACTGATTCAGATAATGTCAGTTTTCTTTTTGCCATTTTGACAGCTCACCCAAATGCTGTAAAGGGCAATCTTGGTGTGGTTTTGTTTCCATCCAGTATAGTGAACGGGGGTGGATAATATTTACATGTCAAATCTTAAACTTTTGTTTGTGTCACAACTTTTTCATTAAAAGGGGATGCATCTTGCATATGAACAAAAAAATCAACAATCTGACCCAAATTTTGATGTTTTTCTTATTTTATTAAAGACACTAAATAAACAAACCTATGAAGCTTAGTATTGTTGCAATGAAATTGTAGCTGGTATGTCATTGTTTTGGGGGGGAAATTAAAATTTCCAAAAGAGGTAGGGAAAGAGTGATTTCACATAAAAGGCCACATTTATGTTATTTTTTGGTCTGAATTCCGCAAATATTACTATACATATGTAAATGTATCTCAATTGCTATATGTTCATTTGACAACTGAAATTGACATTCAAATTTGATTGTTACATTAAATTTACTCATTTTCTGGTTTTTATCCCTTCTCTGAATTTTATTTTTTTTATTTTTTAATGCACCCTAAAGTTTCCCATTTATGTACCTGATTTGCTTCGAAGAATAGACCTTCCAGCTCTTCTGTCATAGAATATGAACCTTTCTGTCTGCCTTAAAACAAAACAAAAATCACCATAACACTTGCATTTTACATGTAAAAACATGAGGCCAAAATTACTACCTAAAATCCATAACTATAGCCCAAAAAGTGTGGTGTGTTTTGGGTTTTTTTTTCTTCACATTACCATATTCAATCTCACTGGCACACCGCTCAAATGAGAGGTCTTGTCGTCCCCTTTAATTAGATACCACGTTCGGGGTTGTGATGCTTGTAGTTCTGAAGATTTCATAAATGTTCCTCTTTTCAGCCATATTCACTTAAGCGTTGAACTGCCCATACACCATTTTCCCACTCGTTATCAAGTACGAAAACTACAATGTACTCCTGTGACTTCACCACGAAAATTTGACAGAACTGCTCTCGGCATGTAGCGCTCGCCTACCGCGCTTAGGCCCTATCATTTGGCGGTTCTTCTGTTGGTGGTCAGTGGACCGTGCAGTGGAAACAGCTATATGGTAATAAAGTTTCACAGTCAATGCGGAAAGTTCACTTCACCTCCACAGCAACATCAGTACTTCTGACTGTTGAACTTGCTTCTCATTCAAGGAATTGAAAAAGGGGAGTTCAATCAATGCCACTGTTGGTTTGTTGCAAAGTTACAAACTGTCAAAAAAGAAATTCGGGGATGTCGTTGGAATACTGGTACATGTACTTATTGGATGGGTGAATGAAGGACTGTGTTATTTGTTATGTCTGCCAATATCTAGTATTATTTGCTTCAAATTATTATTGTACCATGTTTAATTGATAGGCTTACAGCTACATGTATCTCACTGCCTTGCCTTTTATTATAGAGTGGAGTATATGCATGGTTAATACAAGAAAAAAGATGGAATTAAAAAGCCATGTACAGTGTAGTAGCCAAAAAAATCGAGTTTAGACTGCGAACCCCAATCCACATGTAGGTCTGGGTTGGATGTGAACTCGGGTCATTGGAGGTGCAAGGTGAGGAAAGCCAACCGATGCACCAACCTGAAACCCCCTCCTCGCGCCACACCTCCCCCTCCCCCTCCTCCCCCGGTTATCAGTTGTCCATCCCTTTCGTTGTAGACCATGGTAGGGGAGGGAGGGGTCGTGTTGGGAAGTTGCTTTATTGATAACACCTTTCTCACTTTTCTGTGATCATGAAATATACCAGTCACTGCAAAACACGAATGTGCATCTTCAAAACAAGCCCCCACCCACCCACCCACCCAAGGGCGGATCCCAGGTGGTGGTTGGGATGGCTGACCACCCTTCCTCGACTGACCAATGTTAATTATTTACATAAGGAGACATTTCATATTTCCTTAAGTTTCTTGAATAATTTCATTATTATGTTGCAAATTTCTTGAGGGATTTGGTCTCTGCGTGACTGAAACACCTTATCTACCCAATCCCCCTTTTGGAAAATCCGAGTCTTCGATATTCCAGCCACCCCTTTTAGAAAATCTTGGATCCGCCCACCTCAAAAAATTTGCATACATTTGTAATGGGCTTTAGACAAGGCCCAAATAACCAAGTATTTTTAGGACCTGGTTTTGTATTAAAAATACTGCGAAACAGCGGTACCTTTGCTGCTGTGGCCTAGAAGGTTACAATACAACTCAAATCGCACCAAACATCACCACCGCCATCGCCTCGGTACTGTGTCGTGTCGGGGCAGCATAATATTTTGGCCGCTATTGTGCACTCCCTGCTATCCAAAGAGCCTTTCATTGTGTTGACAAAAACCACGAAGTTTGCCAGTTGTAAGCTTTTTGTTCCGAGGTAAAAAGTGTGGTTTTGAGTTGACTTGGAATGTATACACAAAAAGCCGCCCCTAAAGAGTTGCAAATCCCAAATAGCTAGTGTAGCTTTTGATGGAGGCCGGAAACCTGTGGACGTGTTTGAATGTATTTCGGCGAAAATACAACCGTATAACGTTACAGGACGAAAAGAGAAAGTGGTTGATGGTAAAGACACTTTTTTATTGCACATGGATGTATTACTCTTCATGACGAGTGTGAGATATCGTGGAAAATATCCTCGTACAATACTGCGCACTTAGTCCGGGTGACATGATACCACATCGACAAGATCAGATGTACGATTCAGAAGGAATCATTTCCGCGAAATACAAAGTTTGGAAATGGAATATCGATAGAGCACTGTACGTGAAGGGAAAGTCAACAGAGACGCTATTGGTAGATTTCTCCAGAGTCATGCATCGGTGACAGTGAACTTTATGTACGGCGATCATCTTGATTCTGTTTGGAGTAACCCGGCCTACTCAGACAACAGCAATATTCTCCGTGTGATTCTAGACACGTAAGGCCGACCCACAGGGGTACAGGTGTTTGGAAGCCGCGCAGTGACTATTTAGAAGCACAGGTGGTTAATTCAGAAAACAGGGTGTCTTTTGACGTGTACGTACACACCACTAGCTCGCCGAATTTGTGAAAAGAGGCCGCACAACACAAGACGGCCTTCGATCACGACGCGACGGGCAACGACTTGTGTGGCGTGGATGCGAAGTGACCATCATGTTTGACTGTTTGGTTGGTATCCCCGTAACATCATTGCAATTTGAAACGTCACAAAAAGTTGATGGATGTTGCACGAGTTGGTCGTCCGCTTGTGAACTTCATTGATAGTTCGAAGCCTCGCTTGTAACTTTGTTGCTAATTGATGTATATGATCTCTGCATCAATCAACTGGACATATCAGCGGCCGAATCTGTTTGGTATCTAACCTTTTTTAGTCGGAACTTGGCCGGCGTGAAATAAAGGAGGCCTACGTCCATATCACATTTGGTATTTTTAATCAGAAGAGTTTTGCTGATGATCAACGATGAATTGTGTTAATGGTAAGTTGATTTTCTTATTTTGCATATGGTCCTGTAATTTGTGCGTAAGCGGGGGGGGGGGGGGGGGGGTTGGAGTTTTCATCATACTGAAGGTTTTGGCATGCGGGGAAAATCTCTGGCGCTCCATTTAAGCAAATGCTTTGGAAAGATAGGGAAAAAAATCCTAAATGTAATGGTAAGGATTCATTAAGAATTCATCATGCGTGAGCACGATGTTGGTGAAACTTTCCTTAGTTGAATAAATCGTATTTAAAAGGTACGTAGTATCATTTCCATTTTTCCTAACGCTCGTAAAAATGTGTGCCAGCAGGCACACTTTTTAAAACCACCATCAATAATTGTTTTATTCTAAACGATACCCTTTCAGGCGGAAGGATTTCTCGAGGTATTGGTGCCATCCCTATCTTCGATTCGAACAAGATTTTTCTCACTAAATCGAGATAGGTCTGTTTCCGGGTAATTTTACCAATGTTCCCAAACGTGCCTTTAAATTTTTAGGGCAAATTCAATGCCACCTCTATGCCTAATTGACCAGGATATAACGATTTAGATATAGGGGTGGCTGCCCAGTTGACTATCTTTGCCGAAAAGTGGAGACACTTTCTCGTTCTTGCTGGACACGAAAGGCCAGGTTATTGTCCTCTGACGGGTCCACCTCGACTCGGCAGTCCACGGGTACAGTCTTGCTCAGGTGGTGTAACGCAACACACAGTCATGAAGTCCCCATTCAGTTCAGCGCACCAAATGCAAGCGTGTCTGCATTATGACATGGGCTGTCTAAACTTGTAACCTCTACACACGCTCGTGTTTGACTTATTGGCGTTGCCAGTGTTTGCCTCGCCAGAGTGTGGGGGAAACAAACGTTTTAACGTTTCACGGTTTGTCGGACACGCACAAAAACACGTCTGTATACCGACTTCAATACCTGCGCAGGTGAATGGCCGATTGTGTGAATACATGATAAAGAGACCTGCTATTTATTGCAAAATGGCATGTCAGGAAAAGGTACGTGTTTAGAACCAGGTTTCAAAGAATTGCGATTGCGAGAGAAAAGTTTGAGACCTGCACCACGTTGACTTGGCATCTGAAGCCGAAATATCACTCAACCTGGTGAAAGAGGGACGAAAAACGGGGTTGGATCTGTAGCTTTCAGGAAACACATGGAGACGGAGGGGGGGGGGGGGAGTTGAGTGAAGGCGTGCTACTTGTATATGGTTGGCATGTCCCCTCCTCCACTAAGGCAATTTGAGAATGAATTTAGGAAAAGGGGGGGGGGGGGTTGCAACCCCCCCCCCCCCCCCCCCCATCCGCTACTGGACAAACAACAAAAATTGGCTGACAAACTACGGGTACATAAGTAGAGATACATGTTACCTGTTACCCATCCTGTAGTCTTCTGACCGTGCGGGCACCCCTTGAAGACTTAACAACAGGCTTCTTCCATCAATCTCGATCCTTAGACATTCGCAGGGAGTCACTCAGCGTCCGGCCTGTCCACTCCGAGATGTTGTCCTCCCACCTCTTTCTTTGTCTGCCTTTCTTTCTTCCTCCTTGTACAGTGCCTTGCAGGATCGTCTTAGCAAGTCCTGATGATCGTAAAATGTGCCCATACCACTTCAGTCGACATATACTCAAATCAAACTTTTTGGAGACATTGTATTGTCTTCCTTTGACGATCTGTGACAGTGTCCGTCCACCTCTCCAACAGGAAATAACGGGGCTCACTATTTCATTTCATTTCTCCCTATACCCCTTGAATTTGGCTGAAAGTTCGTCGTGGTCTCAATGTAACTCAGCCTTTTGGGGGAAAAGTAGGCACGAAGACTTGAATTAAGAACAGTGGAGGATCCAAAGGGATGGCTGGGGATGTTAAGAGGGTGGATGATAAGTTGTAGTCAACGCGTAAAGAGACCAAAGACCAAAGTAGGTTTTGCCCTTCAAAGACCAAAGACCGTGAATCAAGATTTGCTATATTGAGTGGCGACGTTATTTTCTCCAGTTTAGGAAAATAATACACTTTTTGTCAGCCGAGAGGTTTGGAGGTCTATAGCTACCCTAACCACCCCTTATGGGACCCAAAGTTAGTTTGCTAAACGGGCGAGGTTTTTTTTCCTAAACAGAAAATAAAGGGTCGTCGTTCACTGGACTTCCCTACACTTTCAATACTATGAATTCCAATAATATGTTTAAATTCTCGGCCACTAGAATGTTCACGTCTCAATAAGAACAATATGAATTATGAAGCTCCATAATATGTGTTCTCATAGCTATTTCTTGCACCATTAAATTTTCGACGATTTTCAAAGTTCCCCCTTTTCCTAAACAGAAAATAAAGGGTTGGCGTTCATTGGCTTCTCTACACTTTCAATACTATGAATTCAATACTACTTTCAGTACCGGCAAAGAAACAACGTGAAATGGTAGAGTGTTCCATTGGGCGTTGGTCTTTCCATAAAATACCTGCATTTTTTTTGCCTTTCTCTCACCTCGTGAGCTTTTCTCGGGCCTTGCGTGACAACTTCTAGTGCCTAGCTCAATGGTCAATATTAACGGGGTCAAAGGGCCGGGAAGCTTGGTCCCCCGACGTCAACAAATAGTGAAGAGCATTTTGCTACCACGCCGTATTGTGAATAATTCAAGATCCATGTATTATCATGCTGCCGCCAGCGGCAAATGAGCAATCGCAAGCAAATGTGAAAAAAGGGGTTGAGACTTTGCGTGTCTTTCTTGGTTGTTGATATGTGCTGCACAATAGGGCCTACGTGCAAAAACATAAATGGGTCAGACACAAAACTAGAAATTGGTAACCGTGCGGGCCAGGTGCATGTGCCTTTGCGTGTTTCTTGCCAGGTGCATCAAAAGTTTACCAAAACATCTCTTTTCTTTTCTGTAATAGGACTGTTTTTAAAACTTAAAAGTATTTTTTTTCTGGCTAGGCTTGGTCTAGCGAATGATAAAAGACACCTTTTAAAAATTTGACGCCGAAGGCAATGGAATTTCGGGCAACAACCTTTTTTATTGCATTTTTTTTTATTGAGGTATAATATGTTTTTGATTGATTGGATGCGTTTATGCCAGAACTTGGTTTGGTTTCACGATTTCCAAGTTGGCAAATAGTGGATTTTATCGAAACATAGTTTCCCTTTTCCTTCCTTTTTTAGGGGGGGGGTCATTTTATATCGTTTAAATATTAAATTACATAAGCACATCACAGACAGCAGCTTCAAGCATTCTTTTCTGTACCAAAAACAAAATCCCTTCCATTCCCACCCCACTCCCTTGTATAAAACGGATACCGTCGTCAGGAGATATCAAGTACACCAATCCAAAAAAAAGAAGCAACAGTGATGGTATAGTTTACTTGGGTCATCCCGCGAGGCCAATGTGATTAGTTCGGAGGAATAGAACGAGGACGCCCCCCAGCGTGTGCTGGGTGTTGGATCTAGGTCTTGGCATGCTATTACCGACATGGTGCAGCGTGATGCAAAAGAGAAAAAAACGTCGCACGGGTTGCCCCTTGTAACTAATGTGGCCTATTTCTTGCATTTCATCCGTCGGTTCCTCTCAGTTGGCGGCCAATAACAACAGTTGACCAAAACCAATTTTTGTTGCAGAGTTTCGTAAGCATGTAAGGACCTGATACTCTTATAGGCCTCACTCGACCTCTGATGTGTTTCCTACCACATTGCTGCCACGCGTTGGGTCATTATTTCTTTTCGAAAAGTTGTCATATCAATAAACTCGGCGTAGCTTCTGCTTAAACTCACATCACGTTTTCCAGAGCTAAATGAAACGTATAGTTGATGTTGTAGTTTATTGAACCGACACAATCTCTATTCTTATAAATGCACACGTGATCTAAAATGCATGTGATTCAATTTGGGCCCTATGGACTTTATTCACAAGTCGGCCATATTAAATTGAAAGCGAGGTAAAGTCTTCCGTTTTTGGAATTTGCGAGTAGAAATGAAAGCAATTAAATAATGTTAATCACAAAATAATACCATTCTGTTCTGAAGAATAATTTAAAAAATACCCTATTGTTTTAAGTCACATTAACTTAAAAAGTGAGGCTTGGAGCGCACACCAATCATAAAATAGTCTGGCAACCCCCCATTCAACAGTTTACAATTGGTAAAATAGATTCAGGGAACACGATCGAAAATGGCTTCCTGGTGAATAAGGTATAGTGTTCCCAGTGTTTGAAATACCAAAAAGTGATACATACTTTACAAAAACTGCGATGTTTTAATTCTGTGTGGTACCTTTATCAGCGAAACACCTGTCCAATCAATGTACACACTGTATAGATATCACAGGGTGAAGTTGGGTCAAACTTCGACCCAGATACCGGACACCTTTCTGGGTCAAAATGACATTTTCCTGAGTTACTTTTCCGGACCAGTTGACAGAAAAGTGTCATTTCTACGTGACTAAAATGTCACTTCGACCCAGAACACGGTTTCAATCGGACTCGAAATGTTTGACCCAGAAAAGTATCATGCCTAGTCTAACCATGGTCTAAACCCAGATTTGAATCGGGTCGAATCTGGGACATCATGGCCGTATGCACAAAACACATTGTATGTCCACATGGTGACCCGAGCATTTAATAGATATAGCATTTTGAAACAACCGGACAACAATGAAGCCTTCCTGTCCACATTTTGCAGAGGAACAGTCAATTTGCAGTGAATTTGTAGAGAATACCCCGACTTGGAAAATGATAATTGAAGAGACGAATAGGTTCGTCATTTGCGATTCCCTCAGTATTTCATCATCAGTTTCAGGTTTTGCTGACTCAGAATTTCTGATTTATCATGTAGTTCTTGCATAGACACTCTTGTAACAATTTCATAACTGCCAAGATTCTTTGGTCGGAAGGCCGGGCGCTGAATTCCAGCACGTCAACCCTTCCCAATATTGTTCCTTCAAGATTTCTTATAGCGGTGGTCGATACAATTTTCTGGCATCAGCACGCGAGCTATATCGTCTTCTAA